TGGTTTGGTTTGTTTTACGGCATATCAACCTCAATGAGTTATTTAATGCCGACAAGATATTTATTGCTGGTTTGGTTTGGTTTGTTTTGTTTTACGGCATATCAACCTCAATGGGTTATTTAATGCCGACAAAATTTTTATTGTTGGTAAAATGTTTTTCTTCAAAAATCTATTTCTTGGAATATTTTTCTTTGAAGAAATCTATAGCTGGTCATATTTATTTCAAAGAATGTATAACTGTTTGTATTGCTGGTATTTTTTTTTATTTTAAAGTTTGTTTTTGGATGTAATTTATCGTCTTACCCAGGACGCGTATGTAGTTTATCGTCATACCCAAGACTATGTTCAAATTGTTGATCACGCTAAATAACACGCTCTTTCTCAGAAACTGTAACTAAGATCTGCTCAGCATAGTTGCAATATAAATCATAGGTGGGCTCTGTGGGTGTTGAATAAACACAAATGTACCTGAGCAAGCGTCTGCAATAGGGATTGGCTAGCCGCCCTAATAGACATGTATCGTCGAATACGAGTGGCCAGCTATACATATAATAGTCCAATTTTGTCAATAAAGCTTTCATTAATTTCTGATCATTGGCTATTCTTCATTATTCTTTTATTTACCCTGCTGATTTTGGAAATTTTCTAAAATTACGTTTAACTCAAAAATGAACATAATCTTCAAAATCTTTTTACTCCTGCAGAAATGTTCGGCCTCTATTGGTGAACGCGGCTGATGCTGAAGATGGAAACGTGAGGAGCAATGACCCGGTTTTATGAAAAATGAAACTAAACAGGCACTTATATATTAGAATCAGAAAGAAACCCTTGAAATATCTAGGGAACATAATGAGGAAAGAGGGCTTGGAAAATTTGACACTCACGGGACATATTGAAGGCAAGGGGTAAAGATGAAAGCGGCGAATGACCAACCTAACCAGCTTGTATAAATGGTTGTCAAAAGAAGGATTTTTTTAAAGCAAATCACCCCAAGCAAGGCAGGAGTGCCACCTGCACGCAAGGGATTATAGAGAGTGAGAATAAGAGTAAAGAGGCATCTTCGGGGAAAAGATAAAGAGAAGGACGGGGATCAAGGTAAAGGCATCAGAAGATGTCGATTGACATTACATTTGAATATTTGAATAATATAGCCATCATAGAAGCAAGTGAAAGGAAGGAAGTTCCACTGACGAGAGGTGCGAGATATGAAGCCGTTAGAGTAGAAAAGATGGCTACATTTAGCACGTTTCGACAGTGAAAAGTATAGAATATATATATATATATATATATATATATATATATATATATATGTATTTTGTGTGTGTGTTTTGTCATTGATGTATGTTTCATTGATGTATGTATCATTGGATAATATAGACAAGTTTTGAAGTTTTGTCTATTTATTTTATATAAATTCTTTTCATATCGTCTGATAAGTTTAATAACATTACTGTTAAAAGAAGAATGAAAATCACAATATTGATACATATTTTTTAATCCAATCTAAGCTTTAGGCTTACATAAGCCATTATCAAAGAAGACAATTACATTACAATATATTAAACAATACACGGACAAAACAATTAAGCTTATCAGACGATATGAAAAGAATTTGCATGAAAATAAATAGACATAACTTTATATTATTTAATGAAACATGCATCAATCTCTCTCTCTCTCTATATATATATATATATATATATATATATATATATATATATATATATATAAAAATGCTTTAATGAAATACATTGAAAAGAACTAAGCATTAGATTCTCAGTCTAGTAGCACGCTTAAATGCATGCTGTTTGGGAACCAGTGAAAATAGCTCGTCGGAACAGTTGTTGGGAGAGATAGCAAAAAAAAGCTTTACTAAAATCTACAAAGAACAGGAAATTGTGGAGAGCCATGATCGCCTACGTCCTGAAAAAAAAACACGGCCTCTAGAAGAACAACGATAATGCTAGTTTTATGTCTATTCTGTATTCCCCAGTGTTTATTTTATAACAATGTTTGTTTCTCTCCTCTCATGAGACAAAATGATCACTTCTCTTTTCTTATTCATTGTATCATCCATCGCCCACTCGATTCATATATATATATATATATATATATATATATGTGCGTGTGTGTGTTTGAGACTTGTTAATCTAGTTAAAATAACAGCATTAATCCTGTTTTTATTTCGTCTTTGCCGTGCAGCAGTCATAATAAAATCACTTCTACCCAGACAACATTTAATCTTGTCTGTGAACGGCTTTTATTAACTATTTCAAATTGATGACGCAAACAAGAGATTGAATGTCAAAAGCGACTTTATCACAAGAAATGGCAAATACAATTAAGCAACTGAGATTTATTCTTGCCACAATTCTTGAAAACCATTGGCATTTAATATAACACGGTCTAAGCCATAAAACTGATTTTTATATACCATTTATTTAGTCTTAAACTGCTGTGTAATAGTCTGCTTCAAAAAGCACTCTATTCAACTGTCTCTGGCAAATATTTAATGGTGACAAGTTTTGAAGCAACAGGAAGTATTAGCCGATTGCCAATTCCTGTTTACTACGGAATAATTTTTTTCACCAAGAAAAACTCAATATTTATTTAAAATGCATTTGACCATAAAATAATAAATTTAGATCCCAGCACTCAATAGATATGGTCAACAAGACTAGTTTTCCAACTATTAACCCTTTCTGAATCAGCGCGGGTCAATTATACACAACAGGATAAATGCTTTCAGCCACCCACTAGATTTAATAATTAGTAATTTTATTTGGTTTAATTGACTTCTACTAATCTAGGATAACTATTTAAATCATTTAAATCTAATATTCATTTAAATTTACATTATGTATTGATATGATTTTTCTTGTGATTGATAGTGGATTGGGTTTTTTGTTGCCTTCTCCACTGTGATTTTATTAAGCCACCAACTCTAGACTTGACCCAACAATCATTCTTCCGCCCTTTTATGGCTCTTATATTTATCCTACAGAGTTGCTAATAACCCCCACCCCAACCAAGAAAGTGAAGTAAAGCCGGTTTTGTTGCCGACCATCTGACAAAAATCAAAATAGCTTTAACTTCATTAAAATCCTAAAAATAATAGATATATAATATAACAGATATATTTTTGTATCACCTTTATTTTGACCTGACCAATACAAAGCTTGCACTTTAGGCTGTGTCGTACCGGTTCTCGATCAAGGAACATGATGAGGAAAAGAAAAAGAAACAGATGTAATAATTGATAATGAAAACAGAGATTAACTTATGTCAAACAAAACAAAACCGAAATATTTTTACGAGGTCTGTCCGTATAATATTCATAGAAAAAATAGCATTCGTCGATTAATGGCACGTTAAATCTTCTTTCAAGAACTCCACTCTGAATAGCCATCAGATGAACCATCACGTTCTCCTTAATCTCGTCCACGGTCTGAAATCGTTTCTTTTTCAATAGTTACAGTTAGAAGAGGCAGAAAAGCAACCCACTCTATTTTATTCAAAGACGTCTGGCTTATGCTGTGAATCTAATGCTTAGTTATTTTCAATGTATTTCATTAAAGTATTTGAAATACATACATATTAGATGAAATGGATTAAATCCGACAAATAATATTTTAATATATTTTCGGTTTATATCCATAAAAATAACGTTTAAACAGAATATATATATACATACATACATATCTATCTATCTATCTATATATATATATATATATATATATAAATATATATATATATATATATATATATATATATATATATATATATATTATATATTCTATATATATATTTATTTCCTTCAAATGTCATTTGAAGGAAATAAATAGGACAACTAAAGTAAAATGGAAAATTATAAACAGGACTAGAAATTGTAAAACTTGGGATGACCCATGCCCTTTGTGCCTCCATGAGAAACTGCACATTATTAAGTTTCTAAATAATAAAAATCTATTAAACAATAGACATGAGTTGACGGTTTTTTGCCGACATCATCAAATTTTTGCATTGAATAATTAGCTTAAAAACAAACATAAAATAATTATTAACACCCGACACCCCCCTCCTATTTAAACAATCGCCCTGGGTGTTACCATGGAAATTTTTATTTCAATAATGAATATGCTATTAAAATATGTAAATTTCAGAAATAAGTTATTCCAATAAAAATTTCGCTTGAAGATGGAACAGAGCTTACTTTAATTCAATTTAATTCAAATAATTATGTTGAAGTTTTCGGCTCTTGTTTTGAAACATGAGACCTCTTATGTAGCGTGTTGGAATCATATTTTTAAATAAATAATTATATTTATGCTCTACTTTTGTATCGAGCACTATTTTTTAAAAATAATAACAAAAATACTAAAGAACTTTGGATTATTTACCTAACAAGTTCTTTCCTATTTTCTATATATTTTCACATATACAGTGTAACCCGGATATAAGAGAGTTGTCGGGACCGGAGAAGAAGTATATCCAGGTTTCTCTTATATCCGAGTTTGGTCTATTTTGTTTAGGTAAGTATGGGAACACTTCATATAACGCTTTTTACGTACAGAACACTAGTTTATTTAACAGTTATAGACATAAAAACACAGACAAAAATACATTTTCAAACAGTTTTCAAAATAATTCAATCGAAAATTACTTTTTCTTAAAAAAGTCAATCATTTTTTATTGTACAGAAATCTCTTTGTTAACATCATGAACACTTTCATACAGTCCGTAAATCATTTTCAATGCGCCATCAGGATTACTGCTTTTTGCTTCAAAGTAGGCTGTCAGAGTTTCAAGCGCATTCAATGCAGCCAGAGAATTTGGCACTGGTTTGTCACTTTCAGAAACTTCAGAACTTACGCTTTCAGCATCATCATCTTCGTCAAAATCTTGATCATTCGTGTCAGTCAGTTCTCCATAACATTGTGTACGGTCGTCGAAGCTGATAAATTCGTCAAAATCTGTTTGCCGTGGTTTTGCCGACTTACCAACAACTACAGCTTGCTTTTCACTGCCATCCATGTTTGTGAACTGAAGCATCGTGAGTCTGTCTTTGGGAACTTTTGTCCCATTTGACTGTTCGTCGCCGGCAAATCGCAAAGATCCAGACGGCATGTCTTTGTAGAAAATTCCCGTTTCATCACATTTCCAAACATCTTTTGGATCATATCCACGAAAAAGTTGCGGCGAAACGTTTGTCACCCATTCGTTGGCAGAACCGTGATCTGCTGACGTTGATTCGCCGTGAAATTTTTTGAACGAAACGTTATTGGCCTGCTTCCAGCGCATGAGCCAGCCATTGCTCGGTTCAAAATCAACTTCAAGATTTACGGCCAGTTGTGATGCTTTCTGCCTGATGACGTGATCGGTGACGGTAGCTCCATGAGCACATGCTTGCGTAAACCATTGTGTAAGCGCTTCGTTAACGTCCTTGTGCACGGATTGGCGCTTTCGTTTGCGATTAGTGTTTCTGTTCATTTGCATGCAAGATCTGAGATCGTCTTCTTTCTTGAGAATTTTTGCTGCTGTTGAGTAACCGATTCCGTACTTTTTGGCTGCAGCGGGCAGTTTGAGTTTCTTCACTTTGACATCGTCGATGAGCTCCAACTGTTCAGAAATTCAGAGTTTTTCGTTGAGACGCCGACGCTGACATCACTAATCGCAATGATTGCAAGCAAACGGTTTTCAGTGGCAAAATTAACACACAGACAAACTTCTGACTCAACAGAACAGTGGGTAAAGTGAAAGTGCTGTCCAGTAAATGCAACGACAAGCAAAGTCGGCAAAAAAGCGGGCGGCGCTACCCTTAGACACACAAAGCAAAATCATAAGGTAGAGGGTGTCTCCTATAGACACAGATTGGACACACCGTGTTTCTAGACTAGTCAAGATTAAGTCATTGAACTTCACTCTCTCTCTAACTGACCGATTTACGACATCACACTGTCACTCAAAACGAACTCTCTTATATCGGGGAGGACGGGACCAGAGAAAATCTCTCTTATATCCGGGTTTCTCTTATATCCGGGTCTCTTATATCCGGGTCTAATTTATATACATTAACACAGGCTCTAATTTGGGACCAGAGAAAATCTCTCTTATATCCGGTTTTCTCATATCCGGGTCTCTTATATCCGGCTTACACTATATATATATATATATATATATATATATATATATATATATATATATATGGACTCTCTCCCGTCGGTTTCGACATAAGAAGATCTGACAGTTTAGTTGATTCAGTTATGAAATTTTGTGCGATAATCTTAAGTGGCATTTAAGACCCGCTAATGATTTACAAAGGAGGCCGCATATGGAGTGAGGCTTGTGAGATGAGATCACTGTTAGATTGGCTGACCTTTTTAGATCTTGCTCTCGATTCGTAAAGATGATTCAGACAAACAGATTGAAAACTGATGAGTCCACTAAAACACGTTGATCTGCATTCTACCCGCTCCAAGGCTAAGCGCTCAAGGGTGTTATATGGTATATTGACAGCTAACAAGTTGCTCTTCAGCTTCTCTTTGTATCTTAGCCATGAGCGTCCTGTCGCCCTGATCTAACTGGCTGTACATAAAGATCTTGTGTATATATATATATATATATATATATATGATTCATCTGATAAAAAAAACAAAATAGCTTTAACTTCGTTAAAATCCCAAACTATTTTGTAGGTATTTATTTTTTCCTTGTTTTTCTTTGCTTACGTTTTTTATTCTTTTTTTTACAAAAATGGCTGCCTTACCGTCAAAAACGTTGGAATTGCGGGGAGGAAAATATATAAACAACCCATTAGTTCATTATTTTAGTCAACAAGTAAATGTAGGAAAAAAATGAAAATTATTAACAAACTACCAAATTTAAGAAAATAGTAATCTGCATTTATCAATATGCCTTTGGACCTCCCCACACCCCGCCACCATAGACACGTGAGCTTCGAAAAAAATGTATTTTTAAATCCAATTTTCTGATTATCAGCTATGAAATGTTTTTCTCTGATCAAATTTGAATAGTGAATTCCTCTTTCTGCAATAATACGAAAAGGTCAAAGTAAGGAGTTAATTTGAATTAATAATAATAATAATAATAATAATAATAATAATAATAATAATAATAATACACATGAATTGAACAAAAGACCACAAACAAAAACGGTGCCTCCTTATTGATATGGCAGTCCCTGCTGACTGCAATGTATCTTTGAAGATATTCAAAAAGCTGTCAAAATACAAGGACCATGAAATAGAAATCTCGAAAATGTGGCATATGGGAACATCGACAATCCCTGTTGTAGTTGGAGCCCTAGGACTGGTTGGAAAAGATTGCAGTAGACTAATTGAAGGGATTCCTGGAAGTCCATGCCTCAAGGAGATACAAAAAATTGTTCTGACAAGTACAGCCCACACTTTACGAAGGGCTTTATCTATGTAATTTTTTTTTTTTTTTTTTTTTTTTTTTTGTAAGTGGGAAGTGTCATGATGCCATTTCTAACCTTAGGTCCCTGGGCGCGACCCGGAAAAAATGTGTAAACGCCAGAAATCAAAGAAAATAACAATAATAATAATAATAATAATTATAATAATAATCACGCTCATTCACTACGTATTCCTTTGGTAAGAAGTGTCTTCCACTCCTATTGCATCGTCCCAAGAACAGCTACTAACATTATCGCTATTTCCATGGCAAATGTTCACACGAGCTCCTATCTTTAGTGCTACCAATTTAGATCTTTACAACCAAGATATTCCTTGCAACGTCGAAGGGTTGAATTACCCGCATTCTCTATATATTGGTAAGAAGGATGTTCCACTCCGAAATCTTCTTCCCAAGAATCGCTACCTTATAGAATAGGATCCCGCGTGAATGCTTTCCTGAACGTTACAAGCTTAACCTGTTCGTGTCAAGGGTCAATCGTTACCTCTCAATATCCTCATAATCAGCACTTCCTCTTCTTATGTTCATATCACAAACCTCATCTAGTAACCCTCTACCTTAAGTGTCTCTTTGGCCTTAGGTGAACATTAGTAAAGAAAAATAAATCTTTCCATCTCCCCCTCCCAGCATGTATGAAATCTGACTACAGGAAGAAAAACGCATGCGCACCAGAGATTTCGAAATTCTAAAACGCAACCCTGTTCTGCCCAGCTTTGCTTGTCGCTTTCATTATCGATAATCCCGATTCGATTCAGGTGTTTGGAAAACAGACACGAGATAGGGATTTTCAGAGTGGGATTAACTAAAATGGGATTTGAAGTTGGAAACGTGGAAGGAAAACATAGGAGAACATTGAAAACAAACGGGAAAAAAATCTTATCTCGGATCTTACCCCGGCAGCGACGATGGTACAGGAAATGCGATAAGCTTGAAATGCGTAATGGATTTAAGTTTTATTGATTCTTTGATCAGTCTGCGTTCTTTAATCTTTACTTAACTCTCACGTGCTTTTTTTTTTTTTTTTTTGCGCGCGCGCGTGTGTGTATGTCTGTTGATACACATGATGGTGTACAATGATAAGTTCCGGCAACAATGCCCCTGATCAGGAGGTTTTGACGAGCATAAAACTATCTCTTAATTGTTGTTACTCCCAGATCCACCCTGACCTGGGGTGGTAGCAAGCGTGAGGGTCTCATCTATAGTCAAATAGTTAACCCCAAACTGTGGTCAAAACACTATGAAAATATAAAAATAGATTTTTTTTTTATAGTTAAAATTCCAGCAATACGTTTTTGAAAAAAAAAATTACAAGCAATATATTTGACTCTCGGCAAAAACCGTCTTTACAAAAATACGTCAATGAAACCTGATATACAAACTGAATAACACATAAGAATACACTTTCTATTCATAGGAAACTATCCTAAAAATCTTGTCGGAATTAAATAACCCATTTAGGAGTTGATATGCCGTAAAACAAAATGAACCAAGCCAAACCAAACAACGATGAGCCTGTATATAAAATTTCTATTTCGTCATTATATAACCCATTTAGGTGTTAACATGCCGTAAAACAAAATAAACCAAACCAAACAACGATGAGCCTGTATATAAAATTTCTATGAACGAATAGGTAAAACATAAACTTGAATAAATTAAATATATTTCACTAATGACTTGAATCTTTCAAACTGCACAGACCATCTTTATTCACAGTACAGACATGCGCACACTAATTTTTGAAACAAAGCAGCGGCCTCTAAGATGGCGAGGGTGAGCGTGAGGACCTTGATGACGAGTAAAATGTATTTCCAGCAGGATGGTGCTTCTCCTCAAACTGCTAATGGCATGGCTCCGTGAAGACTTTGGGTAGCCGTCTCATGAGCCGCAAATACGAAACTCTTCTCTCACTTGACGTGAACCCCCACCAGATTTCTTCCTCTTGGGATTTCTCAACGACAACATCTGCCCGGGCAACTCTCGCACCATTGCTGTATTGAAGGCAGCTATCACCGTGAAGATTCAAGGGACTACCCAGGAGGAATGAGCACGCGTTCTCAACAACTTTGCATACAACAGTACCTTCAATTGAACGGCGAACATCTGGAGCCTGTACCCTAGGGCTCCTCTTGGCATTTTTAGGTCATGTTTGAGACTAAATGGTTGCAGATCTTAAAATGTTTTCCTTTTACATTTCAATAAATGTCATGTTTGTTCCTTTACTAACCCTCTCATTCTCTGTTCTGCTATCCATTTACGCAAGCTTGTTAAGTATTAAGTTAGTGTTCTTTCGCGTTCTGAATAGAACTTCCTTCCTAACCATTGGTTCGATGTACTTTGAAGAGCCAACATCTTGATTACGCCATTATTTTCCCCGCGATTTACAAATGCTATTCATTTTAAGTGAACTGAATGTGATAGATAGATAGATAGATAGATAGATAGATAGATAGATAGATAGATAGATATGAACTGAATGAGATAGATAGATAGATAGATAGATAGATAGATAGATAGATATGAACTGAATGAGATAGATAGATAGATAAGAACTGAATGAGATAGATAGATAGATAAGAACTGAATGTGATAGATAGATAGATAGATAGATAGATAGATAGATAGATAGATAGATAGATATGAACTGAATGAGATAGATAGATAGATAGATAGATAGATAGATAGATAGATAGATAGATAGATAGATATGAACTGAATGAGATAGATAGATAGATATGAACTGAATGTAATAGATAGATAGATAGATAAGAACTGAATGTGATAGATAGATAGATAGATAGATAGATAGATAGATAGATAGATAGATATGAACTGAATGTGATAGATAGATAGATAGATAGATAGATAGATAGATAGATAGATAGATAGATAGATAGATAAGAACTGAATGTGATAGATAGATAGATAGATAGATAGATAGATAGATAGATAGATAGATAGATAGATCGAGGACTGGAGCGAGGAGAGAAGAAACGGAGACTTGTCTCTGGTATGAAGCGCGCTCAAAGTTAAAACAACCCAATGACATCGGGGTAGAGCGTCTTCATATGCATTGGTTGCAATCGTGTGTGGGCTTGTGCAGGCACAACAGTTGCTGCACCGCCATCAGCAGCTGAAGCATAACTTTGGACGCAGATCAATGGTCACTCGAGACCAACGGATACACGGTGTTTCACAATTGTTGAAACAAAGCAGCGACCTCTCAGATGAGGACCTTAATGAGCAGTGGCTCTAGCAGAATGGTGCTCCTCCTCACACTGCTAATGTTACCACTGCATGGCTCCGGGTAAAATTCGGGAGGGCGTCTCATCAGCCTCAAACCTAAAGTGGGCTGGGCACCTCTTGATATTTTTTATTTATATTTGAGACTAACTGGCTGCAGATCTTAAAATATTATCCTTTTACCTTTCAATAAAAGTAGTTTCCATTAGGCTATCATTTGTGGTCTTTGATTTGTGTCCGATCATTTTCTTTGAAAAGTTGTGAAACACAATGTATATAGCTAATTACTAAGCATAGCTTAGATGTGGCACTCAACCGAAACTATGGAGCACCCAATTAGAATCAAGCTCACTACTCAGTTGTAATTGATCTGGCGAGACTTACTTGCTAATCATTAGACGACAACGATGTGCTCCATACACACTTATATATAAGAGAAAATGATAGGTAAATATTTAGATTACAGAACAATTTTCTATTATCACAGTGTTGGATGCCTAATAACAAGCGCCCTGGGTATGACGATAAACTACATCTGGCAGCAAGGACTCTGACGGGGAAGTTTTGAGAGGTGCGCCCTACGCTTAATTGCTGTTGTTCCCAGGTCCACCCTGATACGTAGTGGTATCACTTGTTAGGTTTCCAGCAATGGACAAATAATCACCCCCCACAACTGGGTTCAAAACATTATGAAAGTATAAAAATATATTTTTATAGTCAAAATTACCAGCAACAGATTTTCATAGAAAAAACTTACCAGCCATAAACTTTTATAAAAAAAAGAAAACTTAAAAGTAATATATGTTTTTTACAACAAGTAACTTATTTATCGTGTTATTGAACTCTGTCTCTCTCTCTCTCTGTCTGTCTGTCTGTCTGTCTCTCTCTCTCTCTCTCTATCTATCTATCTATCTCTCAGCTTCTCTCTCTTGTTATTCTAACTTTCTTGATTTTTCATTCAGTGGATTTCTTCTTGTTGATACCATTCGCATTCCTTCATCACAACGTCTCCCTTCTTTCTTTCTTTCCTTCTTTCTTTCTTTCCTTCTTTCTTTCTTTCTTTCTTTCTTTCTCTTCCTCTTTCTCATGCCATCTGTACTGTGTCTCTCTTCTTTTCTTCTTTTCTTTTCTTTTCTTCCGTTTTCCTTAGTCTTGAACTCCCAACTCTATTTTTCAAATTTCGTTCTCTTTGCAGTTCTTTTTCTTTCCTTCTTTCTTTCTTTCTTTCTTTCTTTCTTTCTTTCCTGAGTTTATCTTTCTTTTGTATCGATTTCTTATCTTTAAACACTTCGCAAAATGATTGTCTTCCACTGGATCCATAAAAAGAAACTATTGAAATATAATTCACACGTTTTTATTTCAAGTCTTATCTTCAAAACCCTTTTGTTATGCGATATGGGACGAAAAAGTCTCATGAAATTCACCTCAAATATCGAGAAACCAATAAAAATAAATACAAATCCATTAATATAGACAAAAGAAATCTATACGCATATAAGCACATTTTGAGCAGCTCAGCACGTTGTAATGGCTACCAAGCTTTCTAGGCTACCATTACCAATGCATAGTGAATTCGACCCACACTGGATACACCATCGATGTCTCATTGCAATAAAATGCCGGGGTAAGACACTATAAAAGTATAAAAATACATTTTCATAGTAAAATTACTAGTAATAAATTTTTATAAAAAAATATTTACAATACATTTTTGTAAAAGAACTAACTAATGCTCTCAAGAATATTAAATTTCAGCATTAAATGACCCATAAGGAGTCGATATGCCGCTAAAAAACAAACTTAATAACAAAAGCGACAGACATATTAACAAAAAGCAAAATAAACAAAATGAAATTAGCTATATTATATAGACTATATATCCGAACACATATAAAAAATAATTTAAAATTGCAGCATCCCCACAAGCCTTCGTGCGCATGTGCAGTTAGATCAATGGAAGCATCGCTTTAGTTCGATGAATTCTCTGAGGACGAAACGCATTACACGAAAAATATTTCCTATTTTGTCATTAATTTTTCCAACACCGATATATTAGATTAGGAATGATCGATATCTTTAGCTAAAATAAACAAAGCTTTAACTATAGTAAATCAGACACCAAGGCATTGTATTAAGTTGATCAACAATTCGTTCGTTTTTTATCATTTATTTTAATACTCATTATTTATTAATACTTCTGAGGAATAATTCATCAGTGTCTTCCTCTTCATTGTTTCCTATCGCCTGCCAACGATCCACTATCTTTTCAATGCCTCGAAGACAGAAATCACTGGGTTCGAACTCAAAAACTTAATCATGCCACTTTTAAAGCTCCACATCGTTGTTGAACGAAACACCCCTCAAATCGTTAGAAAATGACTGTAGTCTAAAGGGTTAAATCAGGAGAATATGGTGGGTGTGGCAAAACTTCCCAACCGTGCTCTTTAGTTGCATGTCTAGTCATGTTAGCCACTCAGGGTAAGTATTGCCATGTTGAATAATCATACTGTAGCGCAGGTCAGGTCTTATCCGCTAAATTACCTCTTTGAGTCTGTTCATTTTTTCAACATACAGCTTAACGATTACCGACATTAATATTGCCATCTTCTGAGCAAATTCTCAAGTGGTCTAGCGCGGTATTGTGTGTTCGAACTGCTCCTCCTTGAAATGGGCAAAACCATTTCTATACCTTTCTCTGGGTAATTAAGTCATTCCCCTACTCAGTACAAATGTCTCAAGCAGCTTCGTGAATTTGATTAAAAGCAAAGAAAAGAAAATATCGAACATGTTCATTCTTGTCTACTTGGCATTCCATCTCAAAGGAGCGCCTAATCTGAAATAAAATTTCAATAATATTAGACAGCAGTTTCACAGGATGACCAGATTTGCTAAGTGCTGTGGTAGGATCCACCTAATTTGCATAATGGAGTACCGACCATATAAATATGGTTGGTACCGGGAAGAGAGGGAGGAATCAAGAGATTCAACCAGAGACTCTGCCCGACTGCGACTGAGTCAACACATTCTCCAGGAACGGTCTTACCAGGAATAAACAAAAGACTATATGTAAATATTGTGTACACTTTCTTGTTTCAATACATTTTGTTCTAAGTACATTTTGTGTTGCATTATTATTCCATGCATTAGTCAAGTTTCAACACTAAGAAACAAAAATGCCATTAAAAATTAGTCTTCAAGATCATGTGCAGAACAGAAAAAAATCAAAAGAATATATATATATATATATATATATATATATATATATATATATAACAACCAAATAGTAAATACCAATGAGTGACCATTTATTTCTTTTTAGTAATTGCAATAGAAAAAAATTAAGTAGAATTTACCTTTTTCTCAAGTCAGTGTAAATTATTAATAATATAAAATTACATATGGAAATACCAACTGGTATATTTAGCAGTAATTTGGAAAATGGTGTCAAGTTTCAGTTAGGTGCTAATTTATCTCTTTAGTAATAATTCTTTTGGGAAAGGTATAAAAATAATCCTCCACGCACTCAGCCCATTGCCAGTCATACTGCATATGAATCAGTTTTGTAAATAGCACGACACAATGATAAATATTAAATGAGTGCTTATATAAGTCATATGCTCTTCCTCTGATTATCTACAGAGATTCTTTTATATTCTGTATCCCTTCAAGATGTGTGCAATCATGGCTCACCACAACTATCCATTGTAGCTCTAAACCAATGGTTTGCAAACTGTGTGCCTGAGCACATTGGTACACCCTGGAAGATGTTTAGGTGCGCCCTAGCATTCCAGAGAAATGTATCCAGATATAAGAAATAAATTATTATATTGCAGTACCTGTTTTGTTCCTATTTATGTAAATTAGCTTCTCTGCTCACACCACAATTAAGTGCAAAAAGAGAGGAACTCTTCAATGTATTGATGAGGAAATGAGAGTTTGCCTATTAAATATACACCCAATCATTGGAGAAAGTACTAAGATTGATCAGGCTCATGTTTCTCATAAAAGTACAATAACATAAGTTTTTGAACCCACAGAGGATTAAGGTTGCACACAAATTAGTGACAGCCTTATGTAATTTATAATTTATATTTCAACATTGGTAAGTAAGTTAAGCAAGGTTGTTACATATATTTGTTTGTTTTTTTTTTCTGATATTCTGCAAATGATCTCTAAGAATAATCTTTCATATTTTTTGCTTCTAAATGAATTGAGCAGCTTTGTGACTATGATTAAAAGCAAAGAGAAGAAAATGCCAAACATTCTCATTCTTGTCTACTTGGCATTCCATCTCAAAGGAGTGCCTAATCTGAAATAAAATTTCAATAATGTTAGACAGCAGTTTCACAGAGTTGCTTTGATGCAAAAAAATGCTACGATAGATTATTCTTCGAGATCATCCGCAGAATATTAGATAAAAACGAATGAATATAAATCACAACCAAAATAGATACACTATTTTCATTATTCGGACTACTGTCCTCATCTTTGTTGCCATGTTTATCGCCACGTTTCGGCCGTTGTATGCCCTGGCCTTTTTCAGGTGGTTGGAATGTCGAATATCTTCAAGGACACATGTCACAGTGGATGAAAGCGTTAGTTAGGATCAGTGACACGACCCAAAGAGTCTGAATTCAATACCTGGTTAAGGCAGTGGAGAACTTTCAGATAACTGACATCCATTAGTCATGGAACGTGGAACTAGAATAGTCTACCCCAGTGAGCGAAATAAAGGGTACAGTTCTACATTCCAACCACCTGAAGAAGGCCGGAGCGTACAACGGCTGAAACATTGTGATAAACATGGCGACAAAGATGAGGACAATAGTCCAAATAATGTACATAATACCTCATCTCAGAAATATAGACAGATACCGAAAAAAGATAGATAGATAGATCTGTTAGGCGGATGAAAGAAGTTCGAGAAATCAAAAAATATGAATAAAAATATTTATTGTCTATTAGTAGGGCTTCAGACGAAAAAGAAGTTTAATGACAAAAGATGTTAAAAATCGAAATTTTCAAATATGCCTGTGTCCTTAATCAATAAGAAATAAAAAGAACTTTTTTCATTACTATCATATATATATATATTGAAACCATTCAAGCAAAAATACAACTTAGGTGGGCTGGTCATGTTGAGAATGGATGAGCATAGGCTTCCAAAAAAGGTGCTGTATGGACAACTACCAAACTCCAAGAGTTCAGTTGGGCGTCCACTCTTACGTTACAAAGACAAATTGAAAGACAACTTGAAACATCTCAATTTTGATCTGAAAACCTGGGAAGCCCAAGCATGAAACTGAAAGGAGTAGTGTAAGACATGTTTCATTAAGTTAAAGGGTTTTGAAGACAGTAGACTGAAGCACCATGATCAGCTTCGGGAAACTCTGAAGCAGAGATGCCATCAAAATCCTGCTTTAACAAATTTCATTTGTCAGTGTGGCTTTGTCGCTCGCAGCAAGGATGGGCTAGTATCGCACTTAAGAAAGCACAAATGAAATATGTCTTTCCCTTACCTGATTTTTTCCACAATGACCCCTGATAGCATGCATAAGTGTAAAATGAAAGGCACCATCCACTGCTGACCCTCATTTATCATTCACGATATATATCATTCACCATATATATATATACATATATATATATATTTGGTTGGATTGATCTGAGTTTGTGACCCTGGGTTTCACGCTTTTGCGATCGTCAGAGTTTGTCTGACGATCGCAAAAGCGTGAAACCCAGGGTCACAAACTCACATCTATCCAACCAAATATGTTAGCTCTATCTCTGATATCGAACGCGTTCTAATAAGTACCGCGCATATAATATATAAATAATAATATATATAATATATTACACACACACATACACACACACATATATATATATATATATATATATATATATATATATATATATATATATATATATATATTTTCACACTTTTCAAACAACACACACACACACACACATATATATATATATATATATATATATATATATATATATATATAGGTCGCGGTGGATAAATTATCGTCTAAATTACGCAAAAATGAAAATAACTGACATTTCCATAAAATCGCCATTGGCTTCAACCGCGGCCTCCAGACGACTTCGGAACTTCCTGCAACTCTTCTGGACGGCCTTCTTATTTAAGTTGGTGAATGCTGCCATCATCCTTGTCTTCGGTCCATCTTAAGTATTACATAGAGTTTTTTTAGTCTCTAACAGAATCGCCTAACCGTGTAGTTTGAATAAGTCCGGCGAGAAGATACATCATTGTCTTAGACCCCTTTCCGTATGCAGGCGGTTTGCAGCCAGTACAGGTTCGTTTAATAGGATTTGCTACGGATGTTAACGAAGAGTGAATGCAAATTGGTTACGTTTCTAAAAGAGTTTATTTTTATTTTGTCTATCAACTTGTGATCTGTGAGACGCACATCATATAGTTTTGAAATGTTTTTATTTAAGTTGAAAACTTCTGAGTCCATATCGCACGAGGCTTTTTTTTACTGAAAAGCAACATAAAAACACAGCTTGTCTTTTGCCTTCACACACATACACACACATAGACACACACAGACATACACATAGACCCACAAATAGACACACATAGACACACGCATAGATACACAAATAGATACACATATAGATACGCAAATAGATGCACATAGACACACACATACATACAAAAATAGACACACATAGACAAACCCATAGATACATAGACACACATAGAGATACGCAAATAGACACACATAGACACACATAGATACACAAATAGACACATAGACAAACTCATAGATACACAGACACACATATAGATACAAAAATAGACACACATAGACACACGCATAGATACACAAATAGACACACAGACACAAACATAGATACACAAATAAACACACATATAGATACACAAATAGACACACGCATAGATACACAAATAGGCACACGCATAGATACACAAATAGACACACATAGACACACGCATAGATACAAAAATAAACACACATAGGCACACACATAGATACACAAATAAACACACATATAGATACACAAATAGACACACATAGACACACAAATAGGCACACGCATAGATACACAAATAGATGCACAGACACACACATAGATACACAAATAAACACATAGATACACAAATAGACACACATAGACACACAAATAGGTACACGCATAGATACAAAAATAGACACACATAGACACACGCATAGATACAAAAATAGACACACGCATAGATACACACATAGACACACAGACACAAACATTTTATTCGTTGTTGAATCTTCATTTCATCCTTCTTACTTTTTCCACGCCATTTTATTTTTCCAGTTTCTTTCTCTCTCCTTAGTAATTTATTCTATTTCTTCATATTCCACTCATATTATTATTATTATTATTATTATTATTATTATTATTCGTCTTCTTTTTTCTTCTTCTTCTTCGTTTTCTTCGTCTTTGTCTTCTTCGTCTTCTTTTTGTTTTTCTTCTTCTTTTCCGTCTTCTTCATCTTCTTTTTTTCTTCTTTTTTCTTCTTTTTTCTTCTTCTTCTTCGTTTCCTTCGTCTTTGTCTTCTTCGTCTTCTTTTTGTTTTTCTTCTTCTTTTCCGTCTTATTCATCTTCTTTTTTCTTCTTTTTTCTTCTTCTTCTTCGTCTTCTTCTTCTTCTTCTTCGTGATATCCTCTTCCTCTTAAAATCTTCTCTCTTCATCGACTCCTTCTTCACATCATTTTTTCTTTTCCTCGTCTTCCTGTATTTCATGAACCTTCCTCATTCTGTTTATCTTTTTCACCTTTTCCCTACTAACTTCAAATCGTCCACATATACTACCTCCATTTCTAACTTACATATCCATTCTCTAAAACATTACGTTCCTCTAAATTATGTACATGCCATTTTAGCTTGTAGTTAAAACAATCAACTGATAATACAAATTAAGTTAAACAAAATGTTATTTCTTAATTTTTGGATCGAAGATGGTAAAACCAGACGCGCAATATTCATCACGAGAATTAGAGAAAATATGTCCAGACGTTCACCAAGATTCAAAGTCAGTCTCGCTGAACGCCAGATTTACTAAAGCGGCAAAACGATTTGGAATGCACCTATCAGAATGCTCGGTTGCTCTATTAAATAATCCAAAGAAGCAGGCAATTTTACACCTGCTGTTAACGCAACCAGGTCTTCCGGAAGAAAATGGCGCGTGTTTAGCTCAGATTTGCGAGTTATTTTATTTTCATTCACTGCTGATCTCTTTTTCCAAATTCATAAATTTAAAAATAAAAAGATTCTTATCGTCTTCTTCATTATTCTACCCCTCCTTAGAAACCTCCTCCTCCTCCTCCTTCTGCCACTTCTTTTCCTTCTTCATTTTTCTCCTTCTTTCTTAGACACATTCTCCTCCTTCACTTACTTCTCCTTTTCATTTTTCTCCCCCTTCTTAGACACATTCTCCTCCTTCACTTACTTCTCCTTTTCCTTCTTCATTTTTCTCCCCCTCGCTATTCCCTCTTCCTTATTCTCCTCGACATTCTTTTTTGTCCTTCTCTTCCATTTAAGACTTCTCCTTTTTCTTCTTTTTTCTTTTTCGTTCCTTTCTTTTTCTTCTTCTTCTCGCTGCTGTCTGTTCCTTCTTCTTCTTCTTCTTCTTCTTCTTCTTCTTCTTCTTCTTCCCCTCCTCCCTAGTCTCCTAATCTTCTTTATCTTTATTCTCCTCTTCCTCCTTTTTCTTCCCCTTCTCCTCGTCCTTCTCTTCCTCCTCATTCTTCTACCCCAACTTGTCTTCTTGTCTTCTCTTCCTCCGCCTTTTTATTTTAACTACACCAGGGCATGACGATAAACTACATCCGGCAGCAAGGCCTCTGATCAGAAGATTGGAGGTTTCAAGGAGCATGGAACCACCTTTTAATTGCTGGTGTTCCCAGGTCCACCCTGACCCGAGGTTGTAGCACCTGTTAGGGTCCCAAGTATGGGCAAACATTGAACTCCCAGCAAAATCAAAACACTATGAAAGTATAAAAATACAGTTTTATATAAAAAATACCACCAATACATTTTTATAAAAAAAAATGACTAACATATACACCCTTGTGCAAATTAATTAAAACAACCGCTTTAGTTTCCTTTCTTTCAAAATACGGTCAGTTTTTAACCCACTGGAGTGACAGGGTGTAATCGATTCCTATATTTTCAGGTCATTTGCAGAGGTGTGCAGTCAATAATATGAATCTATTTTTGAGGTGTGTGATAAAATTTGTTCGGTCTTGAAAAATATTGCGTCATCTGTGATTGCATCAGATTTTCATCACGACCAGACACTATTGTCTCGACTGTCGATTAGTTGTGCTATGGCCATTGTCTGCGATGGACGTTACTTCATGGAAGCGTACGAAAACTGTAACGCTGCACAAACACATTTGTAAGACTTACCAATGAGCAAATCAAAGTACTATAGACTGGCTCGGAAAGTCTCCTGATTTAAATGCAATCGAGAATCTGTGGTCAATCTGCAAGGAACGACTTCGTGTGATGGATATACGAAGTACTAATATGTGCACTGAGTCATGTTTCATTGGAAAATGAATGATAATAATAACCCTCTCCTACAAATTGCAAAACACCGAATCCACTCCATCAACAAAGAAACTTCGCTCTTCAAGAAACAGCTTAATATACCTGAAACCCTACCAATAAAAAACGAAGCGAATACCATCTATACCAAATGAGTAAAGCAGGAAACAAAACAAATTGACCAAATGAAATTACAACAAAACTGGGGGGACAAGGCGTTGCATGGAAAATACATAAAAAAAAACGTAAATAATAACGGAATTATTCGTTTTGTTTCAATTAATCAAGGGTGTAGGTGATCATGGCCCTCCACATCTTCCTGTATAATTAATTTTCATAAGGGTGTACAGTTCCCACCTTTCGGAGGTAAAATGTGTATTCTCTTCGGTTGTTTTATTTTTATTTATTTATTGCAAAAATATTCAGTGGACGATATCATGATGCCATTTGTGAGCTTAGGTCTCTGGTTGGTAGCCGAAAGGATATGACTATAAAAGGGAAATGAAAGGAAATACTCGTAGTAAAGTACAACTTCAACATTATTAAACAGAAGTTGAATGAAATTAAAAGATTGGACGCCAAGACCAGAAAAATGCTCACCCAAATGAGGAAGCACCACCTGAAATGAGATGTTGATAGGCTGTATGTAGGAAAAGCTTTGCGGGGGAGAGTTCTAATGCAACTCGTATTAACTCTAAAAACCACAACAGTCAGATTGGAAGCCTATTCACAAAAACCAATGACCCTCTCCTGCAAATAGTAAAACACCAAATCCATTTTATCAACAAAGAATTTGAACTCTTCAAGAAACAGCTTATTATACTTGAAATCCTACCAACAAAAACGAGGCGAATTCGATCTATGCCAAACGAATAATGTAGAAAGCAAAACAATTTGACCAAATGAAATTACGACAAAACTGGGAGAACAAGACGCTGCATTGCAAATACCTAAAAAGAACGAAAGAATCAGATGTGGACCAACAGAAAACACATCAGTAGCTGAGAAGCACCGGCCTGTAAGCTGAGACAGAAGGCCTAATTAATGCAGCTCAGGACCAAAGCCTTGCAAATAGATCATATCAATGTCACATAATCAAGGATGGAACTAACCCGAAATGCAGGATCTGCTGTTAATATGATGAAACTGTCGACCATATTATCTCAGAATGTCTGGAACTGGCAAAAAATTAATATATCCACAGACATAACAAGGTAGCGACATATGCGCACTGGAAGATATGCAAGAAGCACAAAATCGAAACCATTGAGAGATGGTATAAGCACCAAGCAGAAAAAATTACCCAAAATAACGATGTAAATATCCTCTGCCAATTCAAACTGACAGGGAAATAAAAGTCAACAGTCCTGATATTATCATAAAAGACAAGAAATTCAGGAAGTGTATGCTTATTGACATAGCAGTACCATTTGTGAGAAACACCTCCATAAAAATTATCGAGAAATTGTCCAAATACAAGGACCTGGAGATCGAGATTAACAGGATGCGGTGAATGAAGACTGAGGCTGTACCAATAGTAATCGGAGCACTGGGCTTCGTGAGAAAAGGAATGGACAATTTTACTAACAGTGTCCCAGGTGACATCAACATACAAGTTGCCCAGAAGATCGCCCTACTAGGGACATCCTATATAATGACAATTCTATAAACGCCCTAAGGACCATAGTTTATATCCGACTCTACAGAATACAAAGCAAGAAACATACACATACATACACAACATACACAAATAATAATAATAATAATAATTATTATTATTATTATTATTATTATTATTTAACCACCTACTCTACATGGATGATCTCAAACTCTTTGCTAAAGATGACAATGAGATGAAGGGCCTCCTCAATATTGTAAAATGCTTCAGTAACGACAAGTTGAAAGCTGAAACTGAAGGTTTTATCCTTGCTGCACAGGACCAATGCTTGTTAATTAGAAATTATCAAGCACATATACTAAAATATTGTGTTAGCCCAAAATGCAGATTCTGTGATAAATATCCAGAAACAATTGATCATCTTGTATCAGGTTGCACGATATTGGCGCTCACTGAATATAAAACCCGGCATGACAGAGTGGGCCAATGTCTGCACTGGAAAATATGCAACTTCTACGGGATGAAACTGAAAGAAACAAGTATGAACACCAACCAGATCCGGTTACGGAGATAGGACCTGTTACAATTCTATGGGACTACACAATACACACTGACAGAACAATCAAAGACAACCGTCCAGATATTGTTATTAAAGACTACAAACAAAAAAAGTGCCTCCTTATTGATATGGCAGTCCCTGCAGACTGCAATGTATCTTTGAAGATATTCAAAAAGCTGTCAAAATACAAGGACCTTGAAATCGAAATCTCAAAAATGTGGCACATTGGAACATCAACGATCCCTGTTGTAGTTGTAGCATTAGGATTGGTTGTAAAAGATTCCAGTAGACTAAGTGAAGGGATTCCTGGAAGTCCATGCCTCAAAAAGATACACAAATATTGTTCTGACAAGTACAGCCCACACTTTACGGAGGGCTTTATCTATGTAATTTTTTAAAAATTTTTTGTCAGTGGAAAGTGTCATGATGCCATTTCTAACCTTAGGTCTCTGGGCGGGACCCGGAAAGAAATGTGTACACGCCAGAAATCAAATGAAATAATAATAATAATAATAATAATAACATGGGAAAATGTAGGGGGAGGGGCATCTTTTGTGGTAGAGGCGTCAAGAGAAAATGAGATAACTCACAAATCAGACCTAAACACGTACCACCACCTTCTTCTTCTTCTTCTTCTTCTTCTTCTTCTTCTTCTTCTTCTTCTTCTACCAGTAAAGCAGATTCCAATAACTGCAGACGCGAAATCGCCTGCTACTTTGGATTAATGCTCGAAGATTCGAAAGTTCTGATAAGCCGACATTGGCGCATTCTAAACAATTTTTTCCGCTCTTGCTAATATCGCCTCTCATTCCAATAAATATGTTCTTTGCTTTATGTAAGAGAATCAATAGATGATTTTTCTTTCATATTGTCGGCGAATAAGCATGAAAGATTCAGTAAAACAAATCCACTTAAGCATACCATTGTTAGATTGAAGATATGTAGACATCTTTACGCATGCTTCCGTGCATGTGTGTGTCTGTGTGTAGGTGTGTGCATATATCAGGAACGTGCCATCTATGTAAGCAATGTAGGCAGTGTCTAAACAGAATAAAATAGATCAACAGCTATATTTTCCTTCCGTGGCAGAAGATGCACCTAATCCAATAGATTTATGAAGTTTACTCTGATTATTGCGCATAAAATGCAAAACATTTTTTTGTAGATTTACTACATAAAGGTCACAAACTGCCAACCCTGAGTAATTACCGACGACACATGCCACACACACACACACACACATATATATATATATATATTAACTGATTTAAAATATGTTTTTTTCGCTACACAGTTCTAACCACGTTTCAAAAATGGAAGCTAAAAGCTTAGAATTTAATTTTGTAATTAAATTAAAGACATTAGTTCCATTTCATCCTCAAGCGAATTTTGGAGTCAAAATTCGCTTGAGGATGAAATAGCTTCCATTTTTGAAACATGGTTAGAACTGTGTAGCGAAAAAACATATTTTAAATCAGTTAATTTATAATATTAATGCTCTGTAAATTTACATTAAGCACTATTTTGTAAAAATAAAAATATCTATGAGAACACCGGATTATATATCTTACTGTTCTTTCTTTTTTTTTATATACACACACACACACACATATATATATATATATATATATATATATATATATATATATATATATAAAAAAAGACTGTCAAAATGACCAAAGGAATTCAAAGCAGCATGAATCCATCCAGCTCTTATCTTATATAACAACTTAAAAGAGACTGTTTGACCAACACAAGGAATGACCAAAATTCATATTAAATAAATAAAAAAGCAAATGAAAACTACAGACAAAAATTAATTTTTAAATGAAATAATAATAAAAACGAAAGAATATTAATATACAATCCAATGTGTCTGAAGATTTTAATTTTTTAATATTTTATTCTTCAATATATATATATATATATATATATATATATATATATGAACAATAATATATAAAATAAAAAATTAAAAAATTAAAATCATTAGACACACTGGGTTGTAGATTAATATTCTTTCGTTTTTTTATTATTATTCCATTTAGATTCCTCGACTAGTTTCGACCGAATATATATATATATATATATATAAACACTAACAATATAAGCAATAAGATAGATGATATTTATTATATATTATCATTTCGACTAAATTGAATCATGAAGAGAAAGATTTTAAAGTCGGAATTTTCAGACATTCCGGTTTCCAGACGAGGTATAAATAAAGGAGAAGGACTCACTCTTCCAAAGAATGTTTTCTTGTTGGTTAATGGTCTTCCTTTAGAAACTATATTCTTTGAGTAAACCTAAATTCCTGTTTAATCCCTCAGTGTATCATTTTATTTTGAAAGTATATTTCAACTTGGATCTGCATCTTTATTTTCGGCTGTTAAATGAAGACTCTAAAAACACGTATTTGATGTCATCGATGCTATGTACCTGTTGGTTGAAGTGTACAGCAACAGGTAAAATTGTTTCACATGTTTCATTAAAGATGACTGACAAGGTACTTAAGTTTTTTATTTAATTTTCCTTGTGTTCGTATAAGTGGTTTCTTTTCTGGACATAAAGTGCGTAAGAATTGTGTAAATGCTCTGCATATCCGAGCGCTTTCGGCTATTTTTTTAGCCACTATCCAGGGAGATTTTTATTTATTTAGTTTTAGCTGAATATATGGGTTTTTATGTATGTGTCTAGAGGTATATGAATGTTTTATTTTCCAGACACGGCCATAAAAATAAAAAAATAAAAAAGATTTTAATAGAAAAAAGACTTTATCAAAAAAATAAATACCTTTTAGTTCACATCCATATAAACAAACCGGGGTTTGGCGCAGAAATACATCCATGCGTTCGGGCATATATAAATACGGAGTTGTAATTCTATTTTGGTGTCGAGACGATAGCTTTTATTATATATAGCGATGTTCCTTTCAACAAGGAGCGGGTAGGGGTGTTCTTGACGCTTTTCAGTATTACCGTCTGCGCCGTCAGAGAAACTTACACTTCTTCATACGCACATACATACATGTAGACGTACACATACACTCCTACACACACACACACACACACACACATATATATATATATATATATGTGTGTGTGTGTGTGAAAAGTGTATATAAATATAAATAAATATATATATGTATAATTATTTATATATTATATGCGCTCAATATCAGAGATAGAGCTAACATCCAACAAAATATATATATATATATATATATATATATATATATATATATATAAGTGAACATAAAGTCTACACTTAGAGGCGACAGTCTTTTTGATGCTAGATGCAATCATCAGGCCTGAAGATTGCATCTAGCATCAAACAGACTGTCGTCTCTAAGTGTTGACTTTATGTTCACTTTTATATTTACACACTCTATCTCTGATATTGACCACTTTCTCCCATAAATATAGCACATCTTAAGACTATATTTCTTCATATATATATATATATATATATATATATATATATATATATGTATGAAAAAAGAGGAAAGAACACGTTAGGTAAATAATCCGGAGTTCTTTAGTATTTTTTTGTTTTTATTTTTAAAAAAACAGTTCTCCATACAGAAGTAAAGCTAATTTTCTAAATGATAAAAATTTATTAAACCATAGACATGAGTTAACGGTTTTCTGCCGACATCAACAGATTTTCGCTTTAAATAATTATCATGAATTTTTTTTTAAATTAAATTTCATAGTCTAATAAAAGGTTTAAAAGCTTAACCCAATCATAAGATAGAAAAACCCTTTATGAACTCGTCAAAAAACAAATTGTAGTTTAGTGCGACGCGTTTATGGACGAAACAGCCCTTTAGGAAAAATAAAAATAAATAAATAAAATAAAATAAAATTCTCTAGACACTTAACGACATATTATGGTGCCAAAAGCTATCTTTCGCTGTAACTAACCAGACGACGTGCGCACATGAATGCCATCATTCGCTTTGAAATGGATACCCCGACCTTACCTCGGATTGACCTCTTTCGGAAGGTGGCTGATATGTGCATAAAAATAAAGCTTAGGTCCCTTATCAAAATGGTCGCCCCAGCCGTTTCCATAGTAATTAATTTTGCAAATGAACATGCTTATAAAGATGCGTAAATTTCAAGATTGGTTATTCCTAAATTTTCGCTTGAGGATGAAACAGGTCTTGATACTTTAATTCAATTTAATTTTAATAATTATATTGAGGTTTTCGACTCTCGTCTTTGAAACATGAGAACTCTTATGTAGCGAAGGAATCATATTTTTTTTAAATAATTATAATATATATATATATATATATATATATATATATATAATAAAAATAATACTTTTTTTTACTCAAGTACAAGTATCCACTAAAAATAACGTTTAAATTGATACAATATATGTCGGATTAATACAAATACATTCTGTACATAGATGTCAGTTCGTGCCTTGTTTGTTTACAAATACCGAAGCCATCTCTCTCCTCTCCCTCTCTCTCTCTCTCTCTCTCTCTCTCTCTCTGTGTGTGTGTGTGTGTGTGTGTGTGTGTGTGTGTAGTAGTTGTTTTTTTGGTTTTTTAAAAACAAATAAAATTATTATACATCGTTAAATAAAAAGTGAGACATTATTTTTTTAATTAGAAATTTTATTATGACAAAAAGAAAAAAATAATTTCATGATTAAATTTTGCTCTCGCAAAATATCCTCCTTTAATTTTAATTACTGCAGCACAAATTTTTAACATTCGTTGCAAAATTTTCACAATGTATGGGATAATAGATTCCATTTTTTTTTTCAGTAACTTGAAGAGCTCTTTTCATTTATTATTTTTTTTCTTCGTTCTTCTGTCAAGTTCATTCAATGCTAATTCTGGTGGTGGTTTCAAACCTTTGAACTGTAGTGTAGATTAGAAGAGGCGTGTTTATGTATGTAAAATCCAGCAGTTGTGTATTTAGCAGTGGATATGTTTTGCTCAATACAATAGAATATTTCATCTTTCATTTGACTTGCCTATTTTATTTTTGCGATGTTCGCTTGTTTGTTTGGCTTGCGTCTCTTGGTATTTGACATTTTCTTTTTTTTTTCTTCCCGAAAGTCTTCAGAAACATGAAATTATTTTATTTATTTTTACATCATTCTTCCTTCTTTTTCTGTCTCTCTCTCTATATATCTATCTTCTCTCTCTTCTTCTTCTCTCTCTCTCTCTCTCTCTCTCTCTCTCTCTCCTCTCTCTTTAACCGTAAAATTCTTTCTCTTTTTTGGCTATAATTCTCTTTTTAGACTCTTCTCCCTACAACTTCCATTTTCTTTTCTCACGTACCAAGTACTTTAGTTTCGCATTCAGCCGCTTGGTGGCGATGCCACGTATTGTTGTTCTACTAGTTTCAAGAATAATTTCCCTTGAGATTTTCGGCTTGTTTTAATTTCTTTTCCCGCCCTCTTTTATTTTTTCCCCCTTTTTCTTTCCAATCTTTTTTATCTTTCTCTCTTGTTCCGACATTTTTTATGCTGTTTTTTTCGTATAGATCTTTATTTTTCGGTTGTTTTCTGTTGAAAAGCTTTCATTATTTCTTAACTGTTTTTCGATTTTTGCAACATTTCGTTCAATCCAAGACAAAAAAAAACAATTTGAAAGAGAAAAGTTAGTTACCAACTACTCACTCTCTATCTCTATCTTTCTATTTGCTTGTCTCAGATCAATATACAGGGGCGACAAAAAGGTTGTTTTCGGAGACCACATAGAAGTATAGTTATCACAAATAAAGCAAAAGAATAATTGAATCAATTAAATGGAATTAATTTAGGAGTGCAGAAACCTGTAAGAGCGTTCTGGCAATTTGAGGCTAAGATTGGAGACTCCCAGAAATCACCCATCAACTCTGCGAGAGTTCATCGAAAATTACCTGAATTGTCAGTAGCCTCATTGACATCATACCTCAAGAACAGAAATTCCAACATAATGCAGGATCTGCAGAAAATATAATGAAACTGTCGACCATATTATTTCAGGATGTCCGGAACTGGCAAAAAAATGAATATATCCACAGACATAACAAGGTAGCGACATATGTGCACTGGAAGATATGCAAGAAGCACAAAATCGAAACCACTGAGAGATGGTATGACCACCAACCAGACACAATTGCCCAAAATAACAATGTGACGATCCTCTGGAACATGCCAATTCAAACTGAGACAAGGAAATAGAAGCCAACAGACCTGATGTTAACATAAAAGACAAGAAATTCAGGAAGTATATGCTTATCGACATAGAATCTGACGGAAACACCCCCATAAAAATTATCGAGAAATTGTCCAAATACAAGGATCTGAAAATCGAGATTAACAGGATGTGGAGAATGAAGACTGGGACTGTACCAATAGTAATCAGAGCTCTGGACCTTGTGAGAAAAGGAATGGACAATTTTATTAACAGTGTCCCAGGTAGCATCAACTTGCATACATCTTCCCAGAATATCGCCCTATTTGGATTAACCCATATACTAAGAAAAGGGCTATCAATTAAATGACAATTCTTCTATAAGGCCTAAGTATCACAGTTTGTATGCGGCTCTACAGGATACAGAGCAAGAAACATAACATAGACAAATAATAATAATAATAATAATAATAATAATAATAATGACATAGCTTTAAGTTTACAGATTATAATGACTTCTGGCTGTGTAGTAGTAGGATTTATTTTAAATTCTTATTTATTGTATCGAGGTACAAATACATGTCAAATTACAGTGAATGCACTGAAATGGGTTTATTAACAAACTCTTTTTAATCCGAATAAACAGATTATTTTTCCAGTTAATCTAGTGAGATTCCAAGTAATTAGCCAAAAAATTACACTACAAATTATTAACAGTAGAAAGGCATCGTAAATTAGTTAGGAAGGATTTGAATGGTAACGATATTTTAAATGACAATTATCCTATAGGGCCTCAGGACCATAGTTTGGACCTGGCTGTCCAGGATACAAAGCAGGATATATAACATACACAAGCAATAATAATAATAATAATATTAGTACATCTTGAAAATCTTGATCAATCGGTACCAATTACTATTCTTATGGGCTTTACCATTCATAGTAACAGACATAAAAGTTAAAAGACCAGATGTTACGATTAAATACGACACACAAAAAAAAACGTACTCGTGAGAAAATGAATGGATAATCTTACTAACATTTTCCAGGTTAACATCGTCATACAAGTTGCCCGGAAGATCGATCAACTAGGAATATCCTGTTCAGGGGCCCATCCCTTTTTATACAAATGGACTCACCCAGTGTACAGCTACGGGAAGACCCGGGAGAGAGCAAGACCGAAGAGAGAAGTCGAGTCCAAAGGTTGTAGGTAACCGGAAGAGTGAGGGGTGAGGTAACAGCGTTGTAGGAGTCACGGTGAGTGAGCACATAGACCCAGTAAGAAGTCATACAGCGATACTTCAATACCAAAGACTGTATATATATTTTGCTACTAACCCGTATTCCTGGAACTACTAACCTGCTTTACCAGTTTGTATTATTACGTTAATACATTATTTTCATATATTCATTCCTGGCGTTTGTTTTTTATTGGTACCGGATTTCAACCCGAAATCCACAACAACTTGGCCACGAGGATATCGAATTCACACGGGAAGAACAAACAATAAAATCCTCCCTCGTCCACAACAACTTTGGCGACGAGGAAATTCGAACTCACACGGGAAGAGTACAAAGACAAATTCTCCCTTGCCGACCACAACGATTTGGTGTCAAGAAATTGGGAAAGAAGAAATTTCTCTCTTCTCACTACAACAGCTTGGGCGACAAGAATTTGCATTTCTCGGAGACTCAAAAGAGAAAATTGCCGTTTTGTCAGTATCCACAACAACTGGGTAACAAAGTGTTACGAGGATTAGTAGAACTTGTTAAATACCAAAATGAACAGCAATTACAATTCCAAGAAAGAATGGAAAAAATATTACTACAAACGCAGAAGGAAAATCAGGAAAGACAAATGCAAAATGAAGAAAGACAATTACAACTCCAGGAGCTAATTGTAAAAGTAGCGAGTAATACACAACAAAATATTGAAAAAGAGGCGACTTTTTCTCAAGACGCAGTATGGAACACGATAGAAACCTTCAAATATTCCCTAGAAGAGGATAAAAATTTCAGGGATTTTTTCAGACGTCATGAAGACATCTTCAACATCGATTATCAAAACTGGGCAGAAGCAAAAAAAGCTACGACTATTACTCAGAAAATTAAGAACGGAAGAATACACAAAATTCGTGGATTACATTTTGTCAAAGAAGACAAATGATTTAACATTTGATGAAGCCGTTACATGCCCGACGGAGTTTTTCAGTCCGAAAACGTCACCCTTTCGCAAAATGTCTTAACCTCGTAAAGGATGAAAATGAGGATTATTCTACGTTCGCCGCAATCATGAATAAACACTGCGACGATTTCAAGTTGGCAGAATTAACCACTTGTGAAGACCCGGGAGAGAGCAAGACCGAATAGTCGAGTCGAGTCCAAAGTGACAGAAAAAAAGGTTGTAGGTAACCGGAAGAGTGAGGGATGAGGTAACAGCGTTGTAGGAGTCACAGTGAGCGAGCACGTAGACTCAGTAAGAAGTCTTACAGCGATACTTCAATACCAAAGACTATATATATATATTTTGCTACTAACCCGTATTCCTGGAACTACTAACCTGCTTTACCAGTTTGTATTATTACATTAATACATTATTTTCATATATTCATTCCTGGCGTTTGTTATCTATTGGTACCGGATTTCAAACTGGAATTCACAACATATCCCATATACTAAGAAATCAATGAAATGGGCTATCAATGAAATGACAATTCTCCTAATAGGAAGACATCAACAATTCCACTTGTAGTTGGAGCCATCGAATTGTCTGGAAAAGATTCCAGTAGAGTCAATGAACGGATTCCTGCTAGCCCGTGGCCTAAAGAAATACAAAAAAATTGTTCTCACAAGTACTGCTCACACCTTACGAAGGGCTTTATCTATTTAAAATATGTATGATATCTTTTTCAAAACTGTTCAGTGTAAAATGTCATGATGATATTTCTTACCTTAGGTCTCTGATCGGGACCCGGAAAGAAATAAGTACGCACCAGAAATCAAAGGAAATAATAATAATAATAATAATGATAATAATGATAATGATAATGATAATAATAATGATAATGATAACAATGATAATAATAATAATGATAGTAATGATAATAATAATAATAATAATAATAATAATAGAAAAAGAAATTTGCACACTGATCGATATGAACGCACCTAGTGACAACAACATCTCTGTGGAGGTTTTTGAAAAACTAAGCAAATAAAAAGACTTGGATATGGAAATAGAAAAAAAAGGTGATATATAAAAACTAAAACTGTTCCCGTTGTGGTTGGAGCTCTGGGTCTAATAAACAAAGGAACTCAACAACAAATCAACAATATCCATGGGGCACCATCTCTCCAGGAAATCCAAAAAGCACCGACCATATCCTGCGATTTTTTTTTTTAATAGCTGTCTTTTCTTCAATTATGTGGAAACAAAATATCTCCTGGGCATGTGACTATAAAACAAATGCAGATCAAAAACCTTTTTTTATATAATAATAATAACAATGTAAGCATAGATCATTTAAAGATGTGTAAATGAAATAAAATTTCGAGTAATGGTCATTAAAAACTGAAAATACTTTTCAGACTTTTTAATGTACAATGAAAATAAGAATATTACCGTATTTTCCGGTTTACAAGACGCTGCGGCTTGGAAGACGCACCATAATATTAGAAAGAAATTTCTAAAAAAAAAAAAGTCATCTTCATACAGCAACACATTCACCATGAGTCATTCACATACTGGCGCCATGTAATGTTTACATTAATCATTCGTCCAATTTTGTTTGTATGTTAATGACATACTAATCAAGAGCAGAAAGGCTCCCGCCGCTGCTAGTAAACACAGCATGTTTAAGCTTGTGGCTCGGCTCTAGGAAGGTTTATAGTCTTGGAAATACTTGTAACAGCTAAGTACTAAGGTTACATCATATAAAAGGCTGTAGATAGATAGCTAACATTATAATGTAATGACTGAACATACAAATTCACGTACCTATCAGTCAAGCCAATTACGTGACTGTCCAAGCTTACTTGAGCCTCGGCGTTGTCTTACATTTGTCTTGGAAGACGCAC